CTTCGAGATCCAAGGATGTGCTCCATCTTGAAGAATAGGCAACTTCTCAAGTATATCTGACATATCGGTATTCTGCAAAGGCTTATACTCCAGATTCTGTCCTCGGATTATCACTGGCAGCATCTTCTTACTTGTGCTCCCTTTCCTTGGGCGTAATGCATACTTCTTCTCCAATTTTTGGGACCCTTTTTTCCTCAGTTTCTCCCTCTGTATTGTCAGCTTCTCGAGATGTTCTTCCAATTCTCTTATTTCTTCTGGATAAGTCGACTTCTCCAAGCATGATATGCATCGATCCATGTCTTTTTCTATTTCTTCAGTAGTCATTGGAGGTTAAAATCCTCTTGAACATGAAGCACCTTTAATCTCCCACTCTTCAACGCTGTCTCCATCTTCACTTTCATCAGAGATCTGATCTCCTGTATCCTTCTTCTTCCAACTTTCATCACCCCTTCTTTCCGCTCTGGCCAGCCTCCGTCTGATCACAGGATCATATCCACCCATGATCTCTTCTACATCACTCTGTTCATCTTCCATTCTCCTAAACCTCGCTCTACCCTTAGTTTCCAAACGTGTCATTTTCTTCTTACTTTTGGAGCTTGGAGTCATCTTTATAGTTGTGTCTGCTTGTCCTCTCTCTATGACTCGTTCATCTTCATCTCTGATGCAATAACCACCCTCCTGAATAATCACTGGAAGCTGAGGATAGACATCCTTAAACTCTGCTTCCTCCTCGTATGGTGGAGGTCTCTTTGCTGAATCCGTATGTGAGAAGGGTTTGTTGACTTCTGCCATTAATTTTTCTGTTATCTTTGCCTCTTTTGCCATTTTTTCTTGCGTCTCTTTCATCAGTTTTTGACCTTCATGTTCGAACAACTTAAGAACACCCAGCTCTCTTCGTCTCTTCTCTTTACGTTGTTCCCCTTTTTTCCCCTTGTTTTGATCCGACTTATATGTGGACACAAGTACTTGCATTATTTTAAGTACACCTGGGTTAAGAGTCCCTTCCACAGGCCATGGTTGTTCAATATTAGGCCAACGCTTATGCCATTTTTCAGATAACTTTACAATACCATCAACTAGAGGATTATTTTTTTGCACTACATCAACCGGAGTAGTTACTTTCAACGTTTTAATGTCCTTTTTCTGCATAGTGACAACTCTTTTATATTTCTTTATTGTAAATTATTTTCCTTATTACTTATTTGTTTATTTTTCTTTTAATTCTACTTAATTGTTGATAGGTGGCAATCTTACAACATCCGCTAATGGAAAATCAAGGGAATTTGCCAACTCCAGAGCAATCATAAAAATCTTGCTATCCAGCAATCACACGGCGCCAACTCCTACCTAATAAGCACCCACTCACCTTAGTTTTGTCCCAAAAGCTCAATACCACTCAATTCCCAACACAACTTGACTTCAAACGACCCCTGCACAAAAACTCCAAAATGTAATATTCAAATACAGTAACTGATCAGTCTGTTGCCAAGTCTCCCCTTAGATAGTCATAACATGAAATATGGCAGGCATACACAAATAGACTCTTTGTTACAAATGTGTCTATAATATCCTGAAAGGAAACAAACTAAATGTGTATCATCCGTAATAATTATAAATGAATATAGACACATATGCACAGGTGTGTGTAAAGAGTTTGTGGATTGCACAATACTGGCCTGACTGGATCCGGGGCTGCTTTGCTGTGGCGCGCTGGACGGCACCCCCTCTCTCTCCTTCTCTCTCTCTCTCCTTCTTGTCTCTCAGACCACAGGAGAACAAAAACCAAAAAAGGCAAACAACACTTTAGTCCTTTTATGTACTCACAAGGTTATTTCCCCCCAAAAATAAGAGTGTTAAACTCTCTGAGTAATCATAATCTATTTTCCCTAACTTTTTAACATATCTACGTTCACATGCAAGCTAAGGAATTTCGGTGTCGTTTACACTGGGGATGCTGGGGACACTACTCTTCACTCCTATTTAAAGCTTACTCTATTAACAACCGTTCTTCAATACCAATGAAAATGCCTTTTAAAATGTATTTACACACATAAAAAACCCCAAATGAAAAGTAAGTAAAATATAGAAAAACAAATGCGCACTTCCCAAAAAAGTAACTTAGGCTAAGAAAAACCCCCACTGCTGCTTCTGAAATGACCCAAACCATACAGCAGCATTAATCAATAACTTTACCAAATTTCAAAACACAGTTTTCCCCTTGATCAAGTTTCCTTCTCTATTTCTTTATTCATATATATATATTCTCTTCCTTCTTTATTTATTTATTCTATTATTCATATATATGTTTTCTTAAATCCTAGCCTTATTGTCCTCTGCATAGTCTCTCTCACACACTAGGCTTCTCCTATTTCTCACACACACAACTGAGACACAGCAGGGCAGCTCTCCACACACACACACACACAATAGCTATCCAGTCAACAAGAATGCATTTCTTCACACTGTTTATAAAGCATGCTTCCGCCGCACCCTTTTCCTTTATTATTTTCCTTCCTAAATTTATGCTACCTCGAGTTTGCAGATATTTAATGAGAGGCCACTTCGGACATAGTTCGTCAACACATGTATCGAGAGGTAACTTACAATCAAATTTTTCTTCTACAAGCTCCCAGTTCCTTTGAACGGACCCGAAAATTCACCTAGTTCCTTTCCAGGATTTGCGGCCCATCTAAGATCGCCTTTCAAGGGCTTTTTGTCCAGATCTGCGGCGTCCTAATCCTTATATTTTCCTTTTTCCTTAACCTTATATTTTCTTCCTTATCCTTATTAATTTGTATTCAAGCCGAATGACCCTGGCCAGGGTTGCACTCTCTCTCTTTTTCCCTTACTCCAATTTACCTATTCCTTAAAGCCTAGTTTCACGCGACAGTAATTTCCATCCCACATGACTTACGGTTATAAGAATCTGAGGGCCCATATTCTTAATCTTTGCAAAGTTATGAAACCTCACTTCCCGTTACTCCTAGGCTGTTCCTTTTTCTTCCTTTTATATCTATCTATCTGTCTTCATTACATTCACACACACAACCTTTTTGCGTTATCCACAACGCACACAAAATTTAGAACGGAGTCCTCTCACACATCCACCCGCAAGCATTCACACGGGATCGAACCGGTGTACCCTTTAACGCACACACAGACACACGAACTGACCAGCGCCCACAGTTTATGAGAAAACTCACCCTATACGCTAGCTTCTGGAGTGGGAGTCAGCTCGATGGAGCCCTGTGTTGGAACGATGAATTCTGGCACAACACAGTCCCTTCGTGGTCGCCAATTTCTGTGGTGTCCGAACGATAATGCTGCGATGATGTGTTGAGAAGAAATCCGCTTGACACTGTTCTTGGTTATAAAAGTTTATTACATCAAAGAATTCAGCATCAATTACAAGCTCTGCAGCAGCTTGGAGAGTGACCCAGCCCGATGGCCACTCTGTCTCTCTGTACATTGAACACAGCTTATATAGGACATGTTTAGGTCTCTGCTAAATACCATATAAGGGCACAGTCCCTTCATACACACTAATCTCTACTCCCCCTACCACTGGGTCAGAGGTCAAATTCCATAGAAGGGTTCACTCTTTGCACACCCATCAATCATTACTTCCCCATAAGGGTTCACTGTGCCTCTCTCCAGCTGCTAGAGTATTATTTTAAACTGTAATGGTCAAATGCACATATGTTATACACAACATTCTCACATTACCTGTCTTGTCCTCACCTGTCCTGTCCTCACATCACCTTTCCTGTCCTCACCTGTCCTGTCCTGTCCCCACCTATCCTGCCTTGTTCTCACATCACCTGTCTTGTCCTCACCTGTCCTGTCCTCACATCACCTGTCTTGTCCTCACCTGTCCTGTCCTCATATCACCTTTCCTGTCCTCACCTATCCTGTCCTCACATCACCAGTCTTGTCCTCACCTGTCCTGTCATCGCCTATCCTATCCTTTTCTCACCTGTCCTATCTTGTCCTCACCTATCCTGTCTTGTCCTCACATTACCTGTCTTGTCCTCACCTGTCCTGTCCTCACATCACCTATCCTGTCCTCACCTGTCCTGTCCTGTCCCCACCTATCCTGCCTTGTTCTCACATCACCTGTCTTGTCCTCACTTGTCCTGTCCTCACATCACCTGTCTTGTCCTCACCTGTCCTGTCGTCATATCACCTTTCCTGTCCTCACCTATCCTGTCCTCACATCACCAGTCTTGTCCTCACCTGTCCTGTCATCGCCTATCCTATCCTTTTCTCACCTGTCCTATCTTGTCCTCACCTATCCTGTCTTGTTCTCACATTACCTGTCTTGTCCTCACCTGTCCTGTCCTCACATCACCTATCCTGTCCTCACCTGTCCTGTCCCCACCTATCCTGCCTTGTTCTCACATCACCTGTCTTGTCCTCACCTGTCCTGTCCTCACATCACCTGTCTTGTCCTCACCTGTCCTGTCCTCATATCACCTTTCCTGTCCTCACCTATCCTGTCCTCAAATCACCTGTCTTGTCCTCACCTGTCCTGTCCTCATATCACCTTTCCTGTCCTCACCTATCCTGTCCTCACATCACCTGTCTTGTCCTCACCTGTCCTGTCATCGCCTATCCTATCCTTTTCTCACCTGTCCTATCTTGTCCTCACCTATCCTGTCTTGTCCTGGCGTGGCAGTGGCGCAATGGATAAGACGCCTGCCTTTGGTGTGAGAGACCCACCATTGTGTCCCTGAGCAAGACACTTAACCCCTCATTGCTCCAGAGGTGTGCGACCTCTGACATATACAGCTTTGGATAAAAGCGTCAGCTAAAATGAATAAATGTCATCACCTTTCCTGTCCTTACCTGTCCAGGTGTTGCGTGCGCTCCATGACAGTGGACCTGCTCGGTCAGCTGCAATGTCCCGTGTGTTACCTATCCTGTCCTCACCTATCCTGTCCTGTCCTTACCTGTCTTGTCCTGTCCTCACATCACCTTTCCTGTCCTCACCTGTCCAGGTGTTGCGTGCGCTCCATGACAGTGGACCTGCTCGGTCAGCTGCAATGTCCCGTGTGTCGCTGTGCTGTAGACGGAGACAGTCCTCCTCCCAACGTCAGCTTGGCTCGTATCATCGAGGCTCTGCAGGTAAAAACCCCTAACCTCAGATCTAAAGGATTTAAAAGGTTGTGCTTCAACAACTGAAACATCTGATCCAGCAGCAGAAAATCTTATTGAAATTATACATGGTTTGTTCATCCTGACAGGACGTGAGTGTATCAGGTGGAGCCCAGCCCGAGTCGTGTCCTCAGCATCACAACCCACTCAGCCTTTACTGTGAGGACGAACAAATGGTGATCTGTGGCCTCTGTGGAAGCATCGGTGCTCACCGCGGACACAAAATCACACCTGTGAGCTCTGTCTACAGTCACATGAAGGTACGAAGACACTAAATCACACCTTTTAGCCCTGCCTACAGTCACATGAAGGTACGAAAACACAAAATCACACCTGTGAGCTCCGTCCACAGTCACATGAAGGTACGAAAAAACTAAATCACACCTGTGAGCTCTGTCTACAGTCACATGAAGGTATGAAAACACTAAATCACACCTGTTAGTTCCGCGTACCATCACGTGAAGGTACGAAAACACTAAATCACACCTTTTAGCCCTGCCTACAGTCACATGAAGGTGCGGAAATACTAAATCACACCTGTGAGATCGTTTACAGTCATGAGAGAATACAAAAACACTAAATCACACCTGTGAGCTCTGTCTACAGTCACATGAAGGTGTGGAAATACTAAATCACACCTGTGAGATTGTTTACAGTCATAAGAGGATACAAAAACACTAAATCACACCTGTGAACTCTGTCTACAGTCACATGAAGGTATGAAAAAACTAAATCACACCTGTAAGCTCTGTCTACAGTCACATGAAGGTATGAAAAAACTAAATCACACCTGTTAGCTCTGCCTACTGTCACATGAAGGTACAAAAACACAAAATAAAAACCTGTTGGCTTCTCCCTACAGTCTTAATATTTAAAAATAGAACATGTAGGTTCTACACCTACATTTATAAAATAAATGAAAATGAAAATTCTGTTCATTTATGTACAACCATTGTTCAGATAATTTCTGTTGTTGGATTGAATGTGCAGTAACCTTTGATCTGGAGACCGGACTGTGTTGATTGGCTGATGGTCAAAGTTAAACCTAAAAGAGTTTGAAGTTGTTGACCCAGCAGATAAGCAGCCATTAGTTTCCATCATATCACAGTGAGATTAAATGCAGGAGTTTAATGTTCCACATAAAGCAAAGATCACCTTTGAGTTTGCAGTTTAACAACAATACGGTCTCAATGTTCATAAACATGGTTCACCTTGAGAGTGCACACACTGCCTAACCCAATCTGCAGACAAGTCCATTCAAATGGACACAGCTCCTCTACATTACATCGTGCTTTACTCACCAAATGTTTTTGGCTATCTTTCCTCCATCTTTGTGGTGTGATGTTCATGAACATAACAGTAATACTACACACTCTACCAGGTCTGACCTTCCCCAGCATCTGCCCTCTGGTATGTGGTGTTTACTGCCTGTATGATTTTGGGTGGAAGCTACAACCAGTCAGCTGACAAAAATGGAGGCTGGGACACCTTTATGACTGCGGGCACATCAGCTGTTTCCAAAAATGTAATGACAGGAAGAGGTTAATCTGTGATGACTGAGAGCCTTTAGAAGGGTAACACCTAAAACCCTATGGGCCCATCGCGGGTGATTCTAGGCTCAGACTTTTATTTATATAGCACCAAATCACAACAACACATGTCTACACAATATCCATACAGAGATACAGACACTACAGAAAAGTTGCTATAGACTGAATGAATAATGGTACAGACATTTAGAGTAATGTTTATGATTCTGCTTCTCTCTCTCTCTCTCTCGTTGTGCTGTCAACCCAGAGACAAACACAACAACCAAACAGAATTTATTGTATAATGAGAGGCAGGATTGAAGCCCGACCGGGCAGACTGCGCTCAGCAGAGTGTAAACCCTGTAGCACCAAACCAGAGCTGAAGGATGCTTCCTGTTGGGAATATTTATCCTTCCTAGACCTACAGAGATTCACTATGTGTGTCTTTTGTACGTGTGTGAAGATTTGATTCCATATTGGTTCAAATACAGACACTATGCTTCCGTGAGTTAACCCTCGTGCTGTGTGTCGACACTTTCTAAAGAGCCGGTCAGTCTGTCTGCAATGAAACAAGATGAAGATGATCTCCACCTTGGATTAGCTAGGAGACGGACCACAGAGGTCCTTATCAAGACAGCTCCATCAGTCAGTCCACCAGCAGACTGACCCTGTTTCTGGACCCTGGACCCAACTTCAACATGGTACTCCATGATTCTTGTCCAGAATTTAAGCATAATTGTCCTCCAAAGAGAGTCCTTTTTCCTTCAGATGTAGGTGTACTGAGGAATTGAGCCATGCGTTTGTGTAGTGGTTCTTTACTTTCCCAGTAGTAAACAACCTCAACAATGTTATTATTATTATCATGTTGGTATGCTTTAGTACCCCCAAAATGATGATGATGCCAGCAACACGTTGCAGTTGGGACAAGGTCATGTTTCTTCTTCTTCCAACAACACTCTGTGAGCGTCTGAGGTGACCGACTGCTGGAATCTGGAAAGAGGAACGTTTTGACTGAGACTCCTGAACCTGACCGACACTCCCTCTGTGGAGGAGGTAGGACTGGACACTTTGGGGATACCATGTCCTTGTCCCTGGTGGAGGACACTGAGGTGGTTCAAAGTGATTCCTCCTCAGATGCTGAAAGCTCTGTACATGGTTGGACCTTCTTTGTTTATTGTTGGTATAGTCAGAGGATGAGAGTCAGCTACTCCCAGTGTGAGGTCATGGATGGAGTAGGAGATCCACAGCATTAATATGGAAGAGTCAGGTTCTAAGAGTAAAGTGGATCTGTTGAAGCGTAATGATCGGTCCTGGGTTTAATTATTGTGCTGTTAATGATGTGAGTATCCAATAGTATGGATTTATTTTACCTGTCTCTTTCTCAGGAGGACATTTCCTGTCTGATGACAGACTTCCAGCATCAGAAACGGAAACTGGAGGATCAGATCTGTAAAATGGCGTACAACAAATCCAGGATCACTGTGGGTGATGTTTCCTGTTGTTTTAGTTTCTGTAGTTTTCTGAATGATTGTTGAATTACGTGTCTGTTTAGTGGCAGCGCCTCCTATGGGACACATTGGCAGCATTGATGCGTTCAGTGGAGTGTCAGGAAGTAAACTGACGACAAACGCCATAATTTAATGTAAAAATGATAATAGGTTGTCCCTGTCTAATCTAGTCTATCACCAGATTTCCTGGGCACCACATGTGCTAGGTCCGGCTCTGTATCTGTTAAATGTATAAACACAGTTTCATCCTCACATCCTCATCCTCTAAAAGCTAAAAGCTGGAAGACATTCATAGTGTTGACATCAGCTGATACACTTTGAGTTTATTGGCCGCAGCAACATCTGAAAGAATACCATACCAAGGACTGACTGTAAGTAACCAAGGTTTAATCAAACTATGGGAGTTTTTCCGACCAAAAGGAGCAGAAGAAGGCAGGAAGACTGGGCCAACCCACGTTGGTCCTAGGGTCGAGCGTCTTCCCCTAAATTATCAAAAGGAAGTGCCTAACCAACAAAAGGCATCATCCTTAAAGTAAAGACCACAGAGAGAAAGAGGAAAAACAAACACACTGGTCACAGGGCTGCTTCTGGCAATCTTAACTGCTGCTCTCTGTCCAATCAGAATGAGTCTGACGTGCTGAAGTGGGTGGTGAGGAAGGAGTTTGGTGAGCTGCGGCGCTGCCTGGAGGTGGAGGAGGCGGACTTCATGCAGCAGGTGGAGACTTCGGCTGCAGACCTCATCTTGTCCCTCCAGAACCAGACGGACCAGTTAAACCAGAACCTGCATCGGCTGCAGGAGGCCCTGAACACCCTGCAAGACCTGAGCAACGAGGGGCACCTGGACTTCATCATGGTACTGACAGTCTATCTCGGTCTGTGGTCGGTCCAGGATGTAGTATAAGACCCGTGGACTTCACAATGGTATTGACAGTCTATGGTTGGTCCAGGGTGTAGCGCAGGACACCTGGACTTCACCCTGGTACTGACGGTCTGTGGTCGGTCCAGGGTTTAGCGCAGGACACCTGGACTTCACCCTGGTACTGACGGTCTGTGGTTGGTCCAGGGTTTAGCGCAGGACACCTGGACTTCACCATGGTATTGACAGTCTGTCTCGGTCTGTGGTCAGTCCAGGATGTAGTGTAAGACCCGTGGACTTCACAATGGTATTGACAGTCTGTGGTCGGTCCAGGGTGTAGTGCAGGACACCTGGACTTCACCATGGTACTGACGGTCTGTGGTCGGTCCAGGGTGTAGAGCAGTACACCTGGACTTCACCATGGTACGGATGGTCTGTGGTCGGTCCAGGGTGTAGCGCAGGACACCTGGACTTCACCATGGTACTGACGATCTGTGGTCGGTCCAGGATGTAGCACAGTACACCTTTACTGACGGTCTGTAGTCAGTCCAGGGTGTAGCGCAGTACACCTGGACTTCACCACGGTACTGACGGTCTGTGGTCGGTCCAGGATGTAGCGCAGTACACCTTTACTGACAGTCTGTAGTCAGTCCAGGGTGGAGCGCATTACACCTAGACTTCACCATGGTACTGACGGTCTGTGGTCGGTCCAGAGTGTAGCGCAGGACACCTGGACTTCACCATGGTACTGACGGTCTGTGGTCGGTCCAGGGTGTAGCGCAGTACACCTTGACTTCACCATGGTACTGACGGTCTGTGGTCGGTCCAGGATGTAGCGCAGTACACCTTTACTGACAGTGTGTAGTCAGTCCAGGGTGGAGCGCAGTACACCTGGACTTCACCATGGTACTGACGGTCTGTGGTCGGTCTAGGGTGTAGCGCAGGACACCTGGACTTCACCATGGTACTGACGGTCTGTAGTTGTTCCAGGGTGGAGCGCAGGACACCTGGACTTCACCATGGTACTGACGGTCTGTAGTCAGTCCAGGATGTAGCGCAGTACACCTTTACTGACAGTCTGTAGTCAGTCCAGGGTGGAGCGCAGGACACCTGGACTTCACCATGGTACTGACGGTCTGTGGTCGGTCCAGGGTATAGCGCAGGACACCTTGACTTCACCATGGTACTGACGGTCTGTGATCGGTCCAGGATGTAGCACAGTACACCTTTACTGACAGTCTGTAGTCAGTCCAGGGTGTAGCGCAGTACACCTGGACTTCACCATGGTACTGACGGTATGTGGTCGGTCCAGGATGTAGCGCAGTACACCTTTACTGACAGTCTGTAGTCAGTCCAGAGTGGAGCGCATTACACCTAGACTTCACCATGGTACTGACGATCTGTGGTTGGTCCAGGGTGTAGTGCAGGACACCTGGACTTCACCATGGTACTGACGGTCTGTGGTCGGTCCAGGGTGTAGAGCAGTACACCTGGACTTCACCATGGTACTGATGGTCTGTGGTCGGTCCAGGGTCAAGTGCAGGACACCTGGACTTCTGTGGTCGGCCCAGGGTGTAGCGCAGTACACCTGGACTTCACCATGGTACCGACGGTCTGTGGTCGGTCCAGGATGTAGTGCAGTACACCTTTACTGACAGTCTGTAGTCAGTCCAGGGTGTAGCGCAGTACACCTGGACTTCACCATGGTACTGACAGTCTGTGGTCGGTCTAGGGTGTAACGCAGTACACCTTGACTTCACCATGGTACTGACGGTCTGTGGTCGGTCCAGGATGTAGTGCAGTACACCTTTACTGACAGTCTGTAGTCAGTCCAGGGTGGAGCGCAGTACACCTGGACTTCACCATGGTACTGACGGTCTGTGGTCGGTCCAGGATGTAGTGCAGTACACCTTTACTGACAGTCTGTAGTCAGTCCAGGGTGGAGCGCAGTACACCTGGACTTCACCATGGTACTGACGGTCTGTGGTCGGTCTAGGGTGTAGCGCAGTACACCTTTACTGACAGTCTGTAGTCAGTCCAGGGTGGAGCGCAGTACACCTGGACTTCACCATGGTACTGACGGTCTGTGGTCGGTCTAGGGTGTAGCGCAGGACACCTGGACTTCACCATGGTACTGATGGTCTGTGGTCGGCAGATTATTGATCAGATCTCCCTGATCAATAGTTTTGATAGATTATTGATTAAGTAATAGTTTTTCTGTTTGTGTTTACAGAAGTACGGATCGATTGCTCCGAGGTAAGAAACATCTCAACCTGTTGCAAATAAACTCACTGGATGAGAATACAATCAATGATACACAGCTCCTCTCCTCTCCCCTTCCCCTCCTCTCCTTCCCTCCTCCTCTCTTCCCCTCCTCTCCTCCTCCCCTCCTCTCCTCCCCTCCTCCTCCCAGGTTCAGAGCAATCCAGGAGCTCCAGCTGAAGGAGGAGAGAATCTTCAGCTCTCTGAACTTCAGACCAGGTTTCAACCACAGCGACATCAAACTCACGGTGTGGAAAAGATTACACCGAAAAGTCCTGCCAGGTACACTTGACACCTGTACTCATACCTCTTTTTGCCTCTACCTGTACCTGGATCTCTACCTGTACCTGTACTTGAACCTCTACTTGTACTTGTACCTCTACCTCTACTTCTACCTGTACCTGTACCTGTACATATACCTGAACCTCTATTTCTACCTTTACCTGCACGAGTATGTATGCCTGCACCAGTACCTGTACCCCGACTATTTATCTGTTTGTTTGTTTATCTGTCCGTCTGTTTATTTATCTGTGTTTGTCTCTCCCTGTTGATTACATATTATTCTCTTCGTCCAGCTCCAGAGCCGTTGAAGCTGGATCCTCAGACGGCTCACCCAATGTTGGAGCTCCATGGTGGGGACACACTGGTGTCCTGTGGGGCTCTGCTGCGGAGGCTCCCTGATAATCCAGAGAGGTTCAGTTACAGCTACTGTGTCCTGGCCAACCGAGGCTTCTCCTCTGGGAAACACTACTGGGAGGTAAGCAGTGCCGTTAGTGTAGGGTATCAGGATTCACCTGCCCGATCTCACCCCAGGGCGCCAAATACCAACACTTTGAGAAAGCCTGACAAAGCATCTGCATTTAAGGTACCCTTCAGCATCCTCTGAGACGCCATGGGATGAGAACGTGTTCACGGGTGCAGCTGAACGACAATGTTTTGTTCTCGTGTTTTTACAGTACATACGTGTTTACAGGCGCTCTGCTTCTGTCCCTGGCCCAGGTGGAAGTTGGAAACAAACCGAAATGGCGCCTTGGCTTGATCAAAGGAACGACCAATCGTAAGGCCAAGCTGGTGAAGAATCCAGATTGTGGAGTGTGGCTGATTGGACTGAAGGACGGGGTTTACGAAGCCTTCACTTCCCCCAGGGTAGTCCTGCCGCTGTCATGTCCCCCCCGCCGGGTGGGACTCTTCTTGGACTACCAAGGCAGATGTCTGACCTTCTTTAACAGTGACAGTCCTGACGAGCTGGGCTTCATCTACAGCTTCAGACTGGAGGTTCAGGGGAAGGTCTACCCCCTGCTGGACGTGTGCTGGCACGAGCGAGGAGACAACAAAGAGCCTCTGGTCCTCCTGCATCCCCACAGGGAGCACCCCCTGCCCCAGCCTCACAAGGAGCACCTCCTACCCCAGACCCAGAAACCCAACAAGTGAAAGATTGAGGAGACGACAGCTCCTGGTCCTCCTGCATCCCAACAGGGAGCACCTCCCGCCTCAGCCTCACAAGGAGCACCTCCTCCCCCAGACCCAGAAACCCAACAAGTGAAAGATTGAGGAGACGACAGCTCCTGGTCCTCCGGCATCCCAACAAGGAGCACCTCCCGCCACAGCCTCACAAGGAGCACCTCCTCCCCCAGACCCAGAAACCCAACAAGTGAAAGAGTGAGGAGATGACAGCTCCCGGTCCTCCTGCATCCCAACAGGGAGCACCTCCTGCCCCATCCCCACAGGGAGCGCCTCCTGCCCCAGACCCAGAAACCCAACAAGTGAAAGAGTGAGGAGATGACAGCTCCCGGTCCTCCTGCATCCCAACAGGGAGCACCTCCCGCCACAGCCTCACAAGGAGCACCTCCTCCCCCAGACCCAGAAACCCAACAAGTGAAAGAGTGAGGAGACGACAGCTCCTGGTCCTCCGGCATCCCCACAGGGAGCACCTCCCGCCCCATCCCCACAGGGAGCGCCTCCTGCCCCAGACCCAGAAACCCAACAAGTGAAAGAGTGAGGAGATGACAGCTCCCGGTCCTCCTGCATCCCCACAGGGAGCACCTCCTGCCCCAGCCTCACAAGGAGCACCTCCTCCCCCAGACCCAGAAACCCAACAAGTGAAAGATTGAGGAGACGACAGCTCCTGGTCCTCCTGCATCCCAACAGGGAGCACCTCCCGCCCCATCCCCACAGGGAGCACCTCCTGCCCCAGACCCAGAAACCCACATAACACATAAAAAAACATTAAAAACTTTGAACAAAGTTAAATTTTTTATTATTCTTTCAATAATTACACAATGGACAACAACATACACAACACAGCATCAATATGAACCAACCTAAACTTGAGAAAGTCATCTTTTTCAGCACTGACTAGACAAATTCAGTCTTCAGTCTGAGTCTTCTCTTCACCAAAGAACCAATAAAGAATCTGCCCAAACTCAGAAACACTTTTTATTGGACTGCCTCAGTCTGACTGGCTGACTATCCTCCTCTCCTCCTCCTCCTCTCCTCCTCCTCACCTCTTCCTCCTCCTCTTCCTCTCCTCCTCCTCCTCCTCCTCCTCCTCACCTCTTCCTCCTCCTCTTCCTCTCCTCCTCCTCCTCCTCCTCCTCCTCCTCCTCCTCCTCCTCCTCCTCACCTCTTCCTCCTCCTCTTCCTCTCCTCCTCCTCCTCCTCCTCTCCTCTCCTCCTCCTCCTCCTCCTCCTCCTCCTCACCTCTTCCTCCTCCTCTTCCTCTCCTCCTCCTCCTCCTCCTCTTCCTCTCCTCCTCCTATCCTCTTCCTCCTCCTTTTGTTCATCCAGGAGTCTTTTTATGAAAACGGTGTGAAACATGTTAAAACATATGAACCCAAGAGATTTCCACCGCCACACTGAACCCCTTGCTCCTCGAGAGCCGGCGACCTCCGACATAAACAGCAGATGTATGTCGTTTTGGATAAAAGCTGCATGAGAAAATGTGATGATGATGAAATGTGAACTGCTGCATTCTCAAATCCTCACGTGAGGAGGATTGTTATTTTTTTTACTGTTGTTGCGTTTTTGTTTTTGTTTTTGTTGATGTTTGTAGTTGTTGATGTGTTTTGTTGTTGTTGACGTTGTTGTTGCTGTTGTTTGTTTATGTTGATGATGTTTGTTGTTGCAGTCGTTGTTGTTGCTGTTTTGTTTTTGTTGATGTTTGTAGTGGTTGTTAATTTGCATCATCTCGACTCCTCGCGGCACGTCTTAGTCCCTCCCACCCGAGATGCGAGCTTGAGGAGTCGAAGAAGAGACGCGAGGAGACAGGAGGAGAGAGAGAGACATACGTTTAAGGAAATGAGATGTCCTTTCCTCTGAGCTGTGACCTGCTGCACAGCTGCATCATCATTCTTCACAATCAAGAAACATGTCTGTCAACAACCCATGGAAACATCTCGAGGTTCCAATAAACATTACAGATTACAGCAGCCTCATCATTCTCTGCACAGAAATAGGCTACAGTAGGCTTTCTTTTTGACGGTGCGCATTTCAGCCCTCAGCCTGATGAGGTGAGCGTTTCATCAGCAGTCCCTTTATAAAATGACACAGTGACATTTATCTCATGGTGCTTTCAGACCAACCGCAAATTTTCACCTCGCGACGCTTTCCTCGAGTTAGTACATTCGCTGCAAATGTTCACACACAACGTGAAAAGGCGATTTTAACACGATAACGTGAATAAAACACAACTCGCCATTACTACAGCTGTATGAACCCAAAGTAAACATGTTGCTGTGATTAAATTACAATAAACGAAATAAACTGATGCTGAAATAACTACAACATGAAGCAGATTTGTTAAACATATGAATTGATGCTTTGTCAAGTCTGTCAGCAGGACAGCAGCTTCTAAAATGTTTGTTTTCTGAATGGAGTTTGGATCGATCAGGGCTATGCTATGCTAACTTGGTCACAGTAAAGTACAACGACAGCTGGAATAAAGTTACAGACACATGTTTTCTGAACTCACCAGGTAGTTCAACCTCCTCGCTTTCTTTTCTCCAAGTAATGTCCAGTTTTGACCGGTCGTAGTCCGACAGAGCTACGACGCTAACAACACTGGAACTGGAGTGAAGATAAATCACTGTTGAAATCCCAAAAAGTAAAGTAAAAAGCTAATTTAATAAAAGCAGTTTACTCCGAGCTCCTCCCGCGAGTAAATGGCGTAGTTATCAGAGCAGAATCCGACTACGGGTGTTTATTTGTCCAATGGTTGCAGCACTGCTTCCTGCTCCTCTTCTCCAAGTTTAGCACCTCTCAGCCGGCCAGCAAATTTTCAATCCCCCGCTCTGCCCGGCGCTCTCCACACATCGCTCTGAAGCCTCAGTGACGTACGGACAATCTCAACGCTGATAGGCTTTCGCAACTCAGTTGAAAGTATTCAACTCACGCAAATTCCTTCGTGTTGCCGACCCCGCCCTCTTTGCGTTGCTTGCGCCGCCCAACAGAAAATTGCGGCTTTACGAGTCTTTGCATTGACTTTGTATGTAAACTGCCCCGAACGCTCGCTTCGCTTTTGGTCTGAAAGCACCATCAGATAGTCACAATTAAAGCTGTAATCACAGGACTCTGTAATCGCAGTAGTAGTAGTAGTAGAAGCAGTAGTAGTAGTAGTAGTAGTAGAAGCAGTAGTAGTAGTTGTAGTAGCAGTAGTAGTAGTTGTAGTAGCAGTAGTAGTAGTAGTAGTAGTAGTTGTAGTAGTATTAGTAGAAGCAGTAGTAGTAGTAGTAGAAGCAGTAGTAGTAGTAGTAGTAGTAGTTGTAGTATTAGTAGAAGCAGTAGTAGTAGTTGTAGTAGTAGTAGTTGTAGTAGCAGTAGTAGTAGTTGTAGTAGCAGTAGTAGTAGTAGTAGTAGTAGTATTAGTAGAAGCAGTAGTAGTAGATGTAGTAGCAGTAGTAGTAGTAGTTGTAGTAGCAGTAGTAGTAGTAGTAGAAGCAGTAGTAGTAGTAGTAGAAGCAGTAGTAGTATTAGTAGAAGCAGTAGTAGTAGTTGTAGTAGCAGTAGTAGTAGTAGTAGTAGAAGCAGTAGTAGTACTAGTACTAGTAGTAGTAGTTGTAGTAGTAGAAGCAGTAGTAGTAGTAGTAGTAGTAGTTGTAGTAGTATTAGTAGAAGCAGTAGTAGTAGTTGTAGTAGCAGTAGTAGTAGTAGTAGTAGAAGCAGTAGTAGCAGTAGTAGTATTAGTAGAAGCAGTAGTAGTAGATGTAGTAGCAGTAGTAGTAGTAGTAGTAGTTGTAGTAGCAGTAGTAGTAGTAGTAGAAGCAGTAGTAGTAGAAGCAGTAGTAGTAGTTGTAGTAGTAGTATTAGTAGAAGCACTAGTAGTAATAGTAGAAGCAGTAGTATTAGTAGTAGTAGTAGTAGTTGTAGTAGTATTAGTAGAAGCAGTAGTAGTAGTTGTAGTAGCAGTAGTAGTAGTAGTTGTAGTAGCAGTAGTAGTAGTAGTAGAAGCAGTAGTAGTAGTAGTAGTAGTAGTTGTAGTAGCAGTAGTAGTATTAGTAGAAGCAGTAGTAGTAGTAGTAGAAGCAGTAGTAGTAGTAGTAGTTGTAGTAGCAGTAGTAGTAGTAGTAGAAGCAGTAGTAGTAGTAGTAGTAGTAGTAGTTGTAGTAGTATTAGTAGAAGCAGTAGTAGTAGTTGTAGTAGCAGTAGTAGTAGTAGTAGTAGAAGCAGCAGTAGGAGTAGTAGTATTAGTAGAAGCAGTAGTAGTAGTAGTAGAAGTAGTAGTAGTAGTAGTAGTTGTAGTAGTATTAGTAGAAGCAGTAGTAGTAGTTGTAGTAGCAGTAGTAGTAGTAGTAGAAGAAGTAGTAGTAGTAGTAGTAGTAGTTGTAGTAGTTGTAGTAGTATTAGTAGAAGCAGTAGTAGTAGTAGTAGAAGCAGTAGTAGTAGTAGTAGTAGTAGTAAAAGCAGTAGTAGTAGTAGTAGTAGTAGTAGTTGTAGTAGCAGTAGTAGTATTAGTAGAAGCAGTAGTAGTAGTAGTAGAAGCAGTAGTAGTAGTAGTAGTAGTAGTTGTAGTAGCAGTAGTAGTATTAGTAGAAGCAGTAGTAGTAGTAGTAGAAGCAGTAGTAGTAGTAGTAGTAGTAGTTGTAGTAGTATTAGTAGAAGCAGTAGTAGTAGTTGTAGTAGCAGTAGTAGTAGTAGTAGTAGTAGTTGTAGTAGCAGTAGTACTATTAGTAGAAGCAGTAGTAGTAGTAGTAGAAGCAGTAGTAGTAGTAGTAGTTGTAGTAGTATTAGTAGAAGCAGTAGTAGTAGTAGTAGAAGCAGTAGTAGTAGTAGTAGTAGTAGTTGTAGTAGTATTAGTAGAAGCAGTAGTAGTAGTTGTAGTAGCAGTAGTAGTAGTAGTAGTAGTAGTTGTAGTAGCAGTAGTAGTATTAGTAGAAGCAGTAGTAGTAGTAGTAGAAGCAGTAGTAGTAGTAGTAGTAGTAGTTGTAGTAGTATTAGTAGAAGCAGTAGTAGTAGTAGTAGAAGCAGTAGTAGTAGTAGTAGTAGTAGTTGTAGTAGTATTAGTAGAAGCAGTAGTAGTAGTTGTAGTAGCAGTAGTAGTAGTAGTAGAAGCAGTAGTAGTAGTAGTAGTAGTAGTAGTTGTAGTAGTATTAGTAGAAGCAGTAGTAGTAGTTGTAGTAGCAGTAGTAGTAGTAGTAGTAGTAGAAGCAGTAGTAGCAGTAGTAGTAGTACTAGTAGAAGCAGTAGTAGTAGTAGTTGTAGTAGCAGTAGTAGTATTAGTAGAAGCAGTAGTAGTAGTTGTAGTAGCAGTAGTAGTAGTAGTAGTTGTAGTAGCAGTAGTAGTAGTAGTAGAAACAGTAGTAGTAGTAGTAGTAGTAGTTGTAGTAGCAGTAGTAGTAGTAGTAGAAGCAGTAGTAGTAGTAGCAGTAGTAGTAGAAGTAGTAGTAGTAGTTGTAGTAGTATTAGTAGAAGCAGTAGTAGTAGTAGTAGAAGCAGTAGTAGTAGTAGTAGTAGTAGTAGTTGTAGTAGCAGTAGTAGTAGTAGTAGAAGCAGTAGTAGTAGTAGCAGTAGTAGTAGTAGTAGAAGTAGTAGTAGTAGTTGTAGTAGTATTAGTAGAAGCAGTAGTAGTAGTAGTAGAAGCAGTAGTAGTAGTAGTAGTAATAGTAGTTGTAGTAGCAGTAGTAGTATTAGTAGAAGCAGTAGTAGTAGTTGTAGTAGCAGAGTCGTATTTTTTCTTTTAATCTGTAGTAAGACTTGTGTATTTTTAAATTTAATCTGTAGTAAGAGTTGTGTATTTTTAATATTATTTTGTAGTAAGGTCGTATTTTTAATATTATTTTAGAGTAATGGCACATTAATTTATTATTTATTACTTTTGCAGCTTTCGGCCACCGTAGTATTTGAACAACAGGAGGCGCTGGAGAATCGGGCCTGTGAATGACGTCATCCGTGGGTGTCAGGTGACAAAACAGGAAGAGAGAGACGTACTACGTAGTAGTAGTAGTAGTTGTAGTAGTATTAGTAGAAGCAGTAGTAGTAGTTGTAGTAGCAGTAGTAGTAGTAGTAGTAGTAGTTGTAGTAGCAGTAGTACTATTAGTAGAAGCAGTAGTAGTAGTAGTAGAAGCAGTAGTAGTAGTAGTAGTAGTAGTTGTAGTAGTATTAGTAGAAGCAGTAGTAGTAGTAGTAGAAGCAGTAGTAGTAGTAGTAGTAGTAGTTGTAGTAGTATTAGTAGAAGCAGTAGTAGTAGTTGTAGTAGCAGTAGTAGTAGTAGTAGTAGTAGTTGTAGTAGCAGTAGTAGTATTAGTAGAAGCAGTAGTAGTAGTAGTAGAAGCAGTAGTAGTAGTAGTAGTAGTAGTTGTAGTAGTATTAGTAGAAGCAGTAGTAGTAGTAGTAGAAGCAGTAGTAGTAGTAGTAGTAGTAGTTGTAGTAGTATTAGTAGAAGCAGTAGTAGTAGTTGTAGTAGCAGTAGTAGTAGTAGTAGAAGCAGTAGTAGTAGTAGTAGTAGTAGTAGTTGTAGTAGTATTAGTAGAAGCAGTAGTAGTAGTTGTAGTAGCAGTAGTAGTAGTAGTAGTAGTAGAAGCAGTAGTAGCAGTAGTAGTAGTAGTAGTAGAAGCAGTAGTAGTAGTAGTTGTAGTAGTTGTAGTAGCAGTAGTAGTATTAGTAGAAGCAGTAGTAGTAGTTGTAGTAGCAGTAGTAGTAGTAGTAGTTGTAGTAGCAGTAGTAGTAGTAGTAGAAACAGTAGTAGTAGTAGTAGCAGTAGTAGTAGTAGTAGAAGCAGTAGTAGTAGTAGCAGTAGTAGTAGAAGTAGTAGTAGTAGTTGTAGTAGTATTAGTAGAAGCAGTAGTAGTAGTAGTAGAAGCAGTAGTAGTAGTAGTAGTAGTAGTAGTTGTAGTAGCAGTAGTAGTAGTAGTAGAAGCAGTAGTAGTAGTAGCAGTAGTAGTAGTAGTAGAAGTAGTAGTAGTAGTTGTAGTAGTATTAGTAGAAGCAGTAGTAGTAGTAGTAGAAGCAGTAGTAGTAGTAGTAGTAGTAGTTGTAGTAGTATTAGTAGAAGCAGTAGTAGTAGTTGTAGTAGTAGTAGTAGTAGTAGTAGTAGTTGTAGTAGCAGTAGTAGTATTAGTAGAAGCAGTAGTAGTAGTAGTAGAAGCAGTAGTAGTAGTAGTAGTAGTAGTTGTAGTAGTATTAGTAGAAGCAGTAGTAGTAGTAGTAGAAGCAGTAGTAGTAGTAGTAGTAGTAGTTGTAGTAGTTAGTAGAAGCAGTAGTAGTAGTTGTAGTAGCAGTAGTAGTAGTAGTAGAAGCAGTAGTAGTAGTAGTAGTAGTAGTAGTTGTAGTAGTATTAGTAGAAGCAGTAGTAGTAGTTGTAGTAGCAGTAGTAGTAGTAGTAGTAGTAGAAGCAGTAGTAGCAGTAGTAGTAGTAGTAGTAGAAGCAGTAGTAGTAGTAGTTGTAGTAGTTGTAGTAGCAGTAGTAGTATTAGTAGAAGCAGTAGTAGTAGTTGTAGTAGCAGTAGTAGTAGTAGTAGTTGTAGTAGCAGTAGTAGTAGTAGTAGAAACAGTAGTAGTAGTAGTAGTAGTAGTTGTAGTAGCAGTAGTAGTAGTAGTAGAAGCAGTAGTAGTAGTAGCAGTAGTAGTAGAAGTAGTAGTAGTAGTTGTAGTAGTATTAGTAGAAGCAGTAGTAGTAGTAGTAGAAGCAGTAGTAGTAGTAGTAGTAGTAGTAGTTGTAGTAGCAGTAGTAGTAGTAGTAGAAGCAGTAGTAGTAGTAGCAGTAGTAGTAGTAGTAGAAGTAGTAGTAGTAGTTGTAGTAGTATTAGTAGAAGCAGTAGTAGTAGTAGTAGAAGCAGTAGTAGTAGTAGTAGTAATAGTAGTTGTAGTAGCAGTAGTAGTATTAGTAGAAGCAGTAGTAGTAGTTGTAGTAGCAGAGTCGTATTTTTTCTTTTAATCTGTAGTAAGACTTGTGTATTTTTAAATTTAATCTGTAGTAAGAGTTGTGTATTTTTAATATTATTTTGTAGTAAGGTCGTATTTTTAATATTATTTTAGAGTAATGGCACATTAATTTATTATTTATTACTTTTGCAGCTTTCGGCCACCGTAGTATTTGAACAACAGGAGGCGCTGGAGAATCGGGCCTGTGAATGACGTCATCCGTGGGTGTCAGGTGACAAAACAGGAAGAGAGAGACGTGACTCCCGGACCTCCGGGACCCACAGCGGATTAAAAACGAGCCTACGGCCGAAGTTTAATTTGAAAGATTCCGCGCGAAGGAAGGTAAGATGATAAAAACAAGAGCTAAGAGGCTAACGGGCTGCTAACAGGCTAACAAGCTGCTGAATCTCTGTGTGTAAATAAACAGAGCAAGATGGAGGTCGGCAGGAAACATCACAGAGTTGAAAAATGAATGGAGTCTGGCGCAGAGAGTCTCGGGAACTCTGCTACAGTTACCCGAGGTCAGGTCAGATTTAATATTGTTTTAAACCGGGCTCATGAACAGAACGCTGCATATAAACAGTGTTAAAACTGACTAAAAATGAATGGAGTCTGGCGCAGAGAGTCTCGGGAACTCTGCTACAGTTACCCGAGGTCAGGTCAGATTTAATATTGTTTTAAACCGGGCTCATGAACAGAACGCTGCATATAAACAGTGTTAAAACTGACTAAAAATGAATGGAGTCTGGCGCAGAGAGTCTCGGGAACTCTGCTACAGTTACCCGAGGTCAGGTCAGATTTAATATTGTTTTAAACCGGGCTCATGAACAGAACGCTGCATATAAACAGTGTTAAAACTGACTAAAAATGAATGGAGTCTGGCGCAGAGAGTCTCGGGAACTCTGCTACAGTTACCCGAGGTCAGGTCAGATTTAATATTGTTTTAAACCGGGCTCATGAACAGAACGCTGCATATAAACAGTGTTAAAACTGACTAAAAATGAATGGAGTCTGGCGCAGAGAGTCTCGGGAACTCTGCTACAGTTACCCGAGGTCAGGTCAGATTTAATATTGTTTTAAACCGGGCTCATGAACAGAACGCTGCATATAAACAGTGTTAAAACTGACTAAAAATGAATGGAGTCTGGCAGGAACAGGCAGGAACTTTAAATGTGCAGGCTTGATATAAAATCCGGTTTGAATGTAATGTTAATGGTGAGTATGGATTTAAATGTCCTGAAATTTAGCTGGAAACTGGCACAGGCTAAAGGCGGCAGTACTGATTGATTATTCATTGATTGATTATTAGCTTTTAGTATTATCAGTATGGAGGATGCTGAACGTTCTCAGAGGATGGGCTGACATATTGATTACTGACTTTTCATTTCTTCTAGTATTGATACGTCATAAAAACTACTGGTGATATGTTAATATCTTGAACATGATTATTGATTGTTTCTCCCCTCAGTATGGAGGATGTATTGACAACATGATTATTGATTGATTGTTTCTCCCAAACATATTGAGGATGTATTGACAACATGATTATTGATTGATTGTTTCTCCCAAACATATTGAGGATGTATTGACAACATGATTATTGATTGATTGTTTCTCCCAAACATATTGAGGATGTATTGACAACATGATTATTGATTGTTTCTCCCCTCAGTATGGAGGATGTATTGACAGCATGATTATTGATTGTTTCTCCCCTCAGTATGGAGGATGTATTGACAGCATGATTATTGATTGTTTCTCCCCACAGTATGGAGGATGATGAACTTCCGTCAGCGGATGGGATGGGTGGGCGTGGCTCTCTACCTGCTGCTCAGCGTCATGGCGGTGTATTACGTCTTTGAGGTCCACAGCTTCAGTTTGGAGCTTGTGCAGAGAGGTGGGGCCGGCCCGTCAGCCCCGCCACTCGCCATCAGCTGGTCTCAGAGCCTTAGTGCTTACCTGCCGCCACTTCCTGTCTGGATGTGGGCGTCAGTCTTCCTGCTGCCATACCTGCAGCTCTTTCTCTTCCTGTTCTCCTGTACGAGAGCCGACCCTCGAGCTGTCGGTTACTGCGTCCTTCCTGTCTGCCTCGCCCTCCTCTGCAGCCGCCGCCACGCTGCCCGCAAACCGGCCAATCAGAGAGGCCAGCCACTCATTGACACGTAGGGGCTCGGGCCGTGGCAGGAGGACGAACTGAACTGTGTGTTGATGTTTGTGATGTCACTTCCTGTGTGCCTTCAAACAGTTTAACAAACAATTATTTTTGATTAAACCCTCTGTGCTGTCTGTCAGGACCTGTATTGTGCCCTGAGTACGACTGTCAGGATCAATACATCTGCCCTCAGCGTCGACTGTCAGGATCAACAGTTCTTTATTCTGCAGCTGTCAATCATTCTCCTGTTGTTATTGTGACACCACAGGCTATCCTGTGCTGTGTTTGGCTAGAGCATGTTTACTCTACCTGCTGTTTAACTCATAGTTAGGTTAGTTAATTGTTAACCTTAATATAGAGAACGTGACGGTTAATCAAAATACTTTGCTGTATTTAATAAGATGAGTCACATGACACATGCTGGTTACTATGATAACTTTATTAGAACTTAAATAAAATGAAAACCAAAACACGTTTATTTACTTTAAGGTGTTAAACCTGTTTCAGCTGCTGACTTGTTTCTCCTTTCAGGTGAACAGGGCCCTGTTTCTGAAGCAGGATTAGAGAATATTCTGTGTGTTCAGCCTGAGATGAAACTCTGAGATCAGATAAAGCAAACTTCCTCCTGAGCAGGTTGGACAGCCTTCAGTTTCTCTGACTCCTCCTGTGGAGCCTGAGGCGGCTACCTGACACACCGTTGAATTTCCTCATTCAGGCTGCCGATATCAAAGCACATATCTGAACGCACGTACGTCTTTAGAAACATAAACATCCCGGTTAGATAGCCTGTTAGTTTTTTACCCAAACATGATCTTGAACATGTCGCTTTATGATCATTTTGTCCTCAATGTGTGGACAGAGAGTTATCTCTGGACATCAGCTCAGAATCAAAGCTACAGGCTGCACTGTGCTTCTTTATAACACAGAGACTGAGGACATTGTCAGGTTCAGCTGAGACACTGAGCTACATTACTGCAGTGATTAATCTATATAAAACTGATCAGTGAACAGTAACTTGTCATAGTGTAGTCGCACTGATGGAACATTCCTATTGTAGTTATCAGCTGGATGTAACGTGAATGTCTCTGAGTGAGGTGCAGCTGAAACCCTGAAATGTAGTTTAAAGTGAGCTTTTCATTAAATATGAAATGAGCCAGATTTTATTCATGTAAAACAGACACTAAAACTTTACAGTCAGTTTAGTCACCTTTTCCACTGCAAACAACAGGCTGAGCTGCTGGGTTGGCCTGACCTTACACTCACAGGTCCATCAGTAAACTGATCTGTACTTTCATCATCAGGCAGCAGATTGCCAGCAGCACTTAGTCCTGTCGGCTTACAGCTGAACAAACAGGCCTATTAAAGTGACTGACGGGCTGGAGGAGAGCTGATGAGGCTTTCTTTCAGCCCCACACCTCAGGATCAACACACTCGGAGCTGACTGGACTGGTTCTGATCAGCTGCTCTGGAGATTCAGGCTCAGTCAGCTCAAGCTCAGGGTTTGTTCACCTGCTTTCTGAAACAGGGCCAGGTCAGTACCCTTAAGCAGGACCACTGTGCTACTGCAGGACCACTGCGCTACTGTCGTACTACTGTGATACTGCTGGACCACTGTGCTACTGCAGTACTACTGTGATACTGCAGGACCACTGTGACACTGCAGGACCACTGCGCTACTGTAGTACTACTGTGATATTGCTGGACCACTGTGCTACTGCAGTACTACTGTGATATTGCTGGACCACTGTGCTACTGCAGTACTACTGTGATACTGCTGGACCACTGCGACACTGCAGGACCACTGCGCTACTGCAGTACTACTGTGATACTGCTGGACCACTGTGCTACTGCAGTACTACTGTGATACTGCTGGACCACTGCGATACTGCACTACTACTGTGATACTGCAGGACCACTGCGCTACTGCAGTACTACTGCGATACTGCAGGACCACGGCAGGACCACTGCGATACTGGAGTATCACAGCTGGGTCAGCTGGGCCCTGGTCCAGGTGTTCCAGCAGCTGTAGAGATTTGTGGTGGACTGTGGTGGCAGCCTTCGATTATTTATTGATGTTCTGAACTTTAGTGAACAAACAGACCGAAGTCGTGAATCCATTTATTAGATTAACATCATCAGAGTAGAACCAGGTGTGACCCTGAACCTGAGTCACAGTCCAATCAGCTGCAGCGTCCAATCAATACATGATTTCCAGTAAGGAGGCGTGTCCTCGCTCCTGTGGTAGTTTGAGCATTGGACCACAAGGTGGCGAACCAGAACCACTTCTGGTTCAGGTGAGGAGACCTCAGAGAGTCTGATGACACACCTGCAGCTGCTTTATGTGTCCTGGTGTCTACTGATCATGTGACTGATCACCTGACCTCATCTCAAGCTTCAGCAGGTGCTGAGGTCCTGCTCAGGTGTGTCCTCAGGTGTTCTGGGTTCTGGATCTTTTAACTGGCGGTTGTAGTTCAGAGTTTTGAGGATCATCTGGCTCATCGTCTTCTTCACCGTCGTCATCCTCACCTGCAGCATGTAAAACACAGATGGGTCAGACTGACCCGCCACATTCACAAATGTGTACCGGGAGAGTTTCAGGTCGCATCTCTAACCTCCTGTGGCGCTCATGACTCACTTCTGCAGTCAGACTCATCACTCATTTCTACAGTCAAGACTCACTACGACAGTCAGACTCACTACGACAGTCAAGACTCACTACGACAGTAAGACTCACTTCTACAGTCATGACTCACTACGACAGTAAGACTCACTTCTACAGTCATGACTCACTACGACAGTCAAGACTCACTACGACAGTCAAGACTCACTACGACAGTCAAGACTCACTACGATAGTCAGCCTCATGACTCACTACGACAGTCAAGACTCACTTCGACAGTCAGCCTCATGACTCACTTCAACAGTCAGCCTCATGACTCACTACGACAGTCAAGACTCACTTCGACAGTCAGCCTCATGACTCACTACGACAGTCATGACTCACTTCGACAGTCAGACTCACTACGACAGTCATGACTCACTTCGACAGTCAGACTCACTACGACAGTCAGCCTCATGACTCACTACGACAGTCAGACTCACTACGACAGTCAGCCTCATGACTCACTACGACAGTCAGCCTCATGACTCACTACGACAGTCAGACTCACTACGACAGTCAGACTCATGACTCACTACGACAGTCAGACTCATGACTCACTACGACAGTCAGCCTCACTACGACAGTCAGCCTCACTACGACAGTCAGCCTCATGACTCACTACGACAGTCATGACTCACTTCGACAGTCATGACTCACTTCGACAGTCATGACTCACTTCGACAGTCAGCCTCATGACTCACTACGACAGTAAGACTCACTACGACAGTAAGACTCACTACGACAGTCAAGACTCACTTCGACAGTCAGCCTCATGACTCACTACGACAGTCAGACTCACTACGACAGTCAGCCTCATGACTCACTACGACAGTCATGACTCACTTCGACAGTCAGACTCACTACGACAGTCATGACTCACTTCGACAGTCAGCCTCATGACTCACTTCGACAGTAAGACTCACTACGACAGTAAGACTCACTACGACAGTCAGCCTCATGACTCACTACGACAGTAAGACTCACTTCGACAGTCAAGACTCACTACGACAGTCAAGACTCACTTCGACAGTCAGCCTCATGACTCACTACGACAGTAAGACTCACTACGACAGTCAAGACTCACTACGACAGTCAAGACTCACTTCGACAGTCAGCCTCATGACTCACTTCGACAGTCAGCCTCATGACTCACTTCGACAGTCAGCCTCATGACTCACTACGACAGTCATGACTCACTACGACAGTCAAGACTCACTACGACAGTCATCCTTACTTCTACATTCAGACTCACTACGACAGTCATGACTCACTTCGACAGTCATGCCTCGCTACGACAGTCAGATTCACTTCGACAGTCAGCCTCACTACGACAGTCAGCCTCACTACGACAGTCAAGACTCACTACGACAGTCATCCTTACTTCTACATTCAGACTCACTACGACAGTCATGACTCACTTCGACAGTCATGACTCACTTCGACAGTCATGACTCACTTCGACAGTCAGCCTCATGACTCACTTCGACAGTCAGACTCACTACGACAGTCATGCCTCACTACGACAGTCATGCCTCACTTCGACAGTCATGACTCACTTCGACAGTCAGCCTCATGACTCACTTCGACAGTCAGACTCACTTCGACAGTCAGACTCACTACGACAGTCATGCCTCACTACGACAGTCATGCCTCACTACGACAGTCAGACTCACTTCGACAGTCATGCCTCACTACGACAGTCATGACTCACTACGACAGTCATGACTCACTACGACAGTCAGCCTCATGACTCACTTCGACAGTCAGCCTCATGACTCACTTCGACAGTCAGACTCACTACGACAGTCATGCCTCACTACGACAGTCATGCCTCACTACGACAGTCATGCCTCACTTCGACAGTCAGACTCACTTCGACAGTCAGACTCACTTCGACAGTCATGACTCACTACGACAGTCATGACTCACTACGACAGTCATGACTCACTACGACAGTCATGACTCACTTCTACAGTCAGACTCACTACGACAGTCAGCCTTACTTCTACAGTCAGACTCACTACGACAGTCATGCCTCACTACGACAGTCATGCCTCACTACGGCAGTCAGCCTCACTTCGACAGTCAGACTCACTACGACAGTCAGACTCACTACGACAGTCAGACTCATGACTCACTACGACAGTCAGACTCACTACGACAGTCAGCCTTACTTCTACAGTCAGACTCACTACGACAGTCATGCCTCACTACGACAGTCAGCCTCACTACGACAGTCAGACTCACTACGACAGTCAGACTCACTACGACAGTCAGACTCATGACTCACTTCTACAGTCAGACTCACTACGACAGTCAGCCTTACTTCTACAGTCAGACTCACTACGACAGTCATGCCTCACTACGACAGTCAGCCTCATTTCGACAGTCAGACTCACTACGACAGTCAGACTCATGACTCACTTCGACAGTCAGACTCATGACTCACTACGACAGTCAGACTCACTTCGACAGTCAGACTCATGACTCACTACGACAGTCATGACTCACTTCGACAGTCAGACTCACTTCGACAGTCAGACTCACTTCGACAGTCAGCCTCATGACTCACTACGACAGTCATGACTCACTAAGACAGTCAGACTCACTTCGACAGTAAGACTCACTACGACAGTAAGACTCACTACGACAGTCAAGACTCACTACGACAGTCAAGACTCACTTCGACAGTCAGCCTCATGACTCACTACGACAGTAAGACTCACTACGACAGTCAAGACTCACTTCGACAGTCAGCCTCATGACTCACTACGACAGTCATGACTCACTACGACAGTCATGACTCAC